TTAGAGCCATGTTCCATACCCTTAAGTTCACCAGGCTGACATCTTGCTTTCCTCTGTTGCATTGGTCTTGCTAATTTTCTCTACATAGGTTCTCAGAGCAGTTTTGCTAGTGGGATGGAGGACTTTACCACCCCTGGCAGGTAAGGTTCAGGAGCTAAGAATAATAGGGATGATCTTAAACGGCAATGTTGAGAATTCAGAATGGTGAGCTTTTAGCTGTAGGTGGGAGCCTTTCAGACCATGATGCAAGTCTATTTATTGTTCCATATTTAGTTCAAGACATAGACCATTGGTGGTTTATGAGCAGCATCATAATAGTATAATGGATTTAAGACTGGAAGGGACTTTAGAAATTATCTAATTATGGTGTAGTAGACTCGAGGCCGGAGACTTAGACTTAATCCTGACTGCCATTTGCTGTTTATTGCTCTTTTGTTTGCAAGTTACTTTTCCTCCGTTTGTTTCTTTCTCTGGAAAATGACACGATTAAACTAAAATATCTCTAAGTACCTGAATCAGCCACTTAAGATTTGAAACTTGAGCATATAATCTTATAATAATCATATGTTTAATTTTTAAAAATGTTTTAGTATCTTTTGTTTTCACACCACCTTCATTTTTGAATATGTGCTTTCCTCTACGTTCCCCAGTGGGTCATCCCTTGGGAGAAAGAATAACAGACAAAAAAAGCAAAACTAACCATACATCCACCAAGTCTGGCAGAGTATTCCATATCTACAGTCTCCCACCTTTGCAAAGAAGGAAAGTGCAAAACATTTTTGATACATTTTGTTTTGACATATCACTTCTTAGGAAACATTCTTTCCCTGCCATTCTGATCCAGTAGTTGTGTCATTTCAGTTGTGTTTGTGACCCCATTTGGGGTTTTCTTGGCAGCGATACTGGAGTGGTTTGCCATTTCCTTCTCATTTTACAGATGAGGAAACTGAGGCAAACAGGGTAAGGTGACTTGCCCAGGGTCACACAGCTAGTAAGTGTCTGAGGCTGGATTTGAACTCGGGGAAAATGAGTCTTCTTGATTCTAAGCCCAGTGCTCTATCCACTGTACCACCTAGCTGCCCTTTTCTCTATTGCCTTTTCAGTTATGGCAAATTTAATACTTGAGAGACCGATATTCCATGATAGCCATTTACATAAAGATTTTTTTTGGAGGGGGGAGGATATACACCTGTGATTTTACTGGTGTATGGAATCCCTCATGAGGAGCCTCCTTTGAGTTCTGCAGAATAGTGACCTTTCTGAAATTTATAGTCTTTAGAGAGTTGTCTGAGACACAAAGGTTTAGTGACTTGTCCAGAATCACATGACAAGTGTTAGAGGTGGGACTTGAACCTAGATCTTCCTGACTTTCAGGTCAGCTCTTTTTCCACTAAACTGTGATGCTTCCTTTTTTGGAGTGGGTTGGATGTGGACCTATGATTTCATTGGTGGGGTGAACGCCTAATGAGGAAACTTCCCTTGCTTTACCCAAGAAGAGGCAGCATGGTGTTGTGAATAAATGGACAGCTTTGGAGTCAGGAAAACTTGGGTTAAAGTTTCATCTCTGACACATGATGTTTGTGTAACCCTAGGTAAGTCATGTAACATCTTAGTAACTCAGGCAACTATAAATTGTAGATCTGCACCAAAATAATACTGATCTTAAACAAGTTGGACCACTCCAGAAGATGCTTGGGATTATTAAGAGCGCTGTGTAGGGGCTGGAGGTGGGGGGACAATGACTGTAGAAAACTGCATATTCTGTTAGGCACAGTGCTGAACTACTTATAAAAAAAAAATCTTTGTTACAAGGAATGGCTCAGAGTCATCCCTTCAGTCCTTTCTAGTCTTTTTGTCCTTCATAAATCAATGTGCTGTAAAAACAACAGGTATCTATAAACTGTTTTTAAAGCACAGTGTAGTTTTCCAAAGGTCACCTAAGCCATTCTCTTCCTTTTGTTGTCTCTGGGCCCAGCTAAGACGTACATACTAAAGGACCAGCCCTATGAGCTCACCACTCAACTGCATATAATCCTTGCCACACTATTTTCAGAACTTCCTGCAGTTTATTTAGTGTTTTATGTCTTCCACTTTATCATCCTCTTCTTTTGCCCTGCAGAATCCTCTCTCCAGGCTGACCGAGCCGCACCAGCTCTAGAAGGTAAACCATCTGACCTTTACAGGAAGGGCAGACAAAGCTTCCAGGCTTCATCTGCACCTGCTTATTCACTGCCAGCATAGCCAGAGGCTGGTGGCCGTCTATGACCTGGCTCTCTAACAAGAACCGCCACAAAAATTTGAGTCAAGGGTACCCATGTATCCCCTAGGAAAAAAGCTTCAGCTCTAGTGCCGGTTGAGAAGCCCTTCTATCCAGTGGAGCAAACATGTCATTGTCTTCTCCCATCTGCTGACTCGCTAAGGTAGCCATAAAGCAACTAACCCTTATCCTACCTTGACATCATCCAGAACTTCAGAGTCAGTTTCAACCTGGCCACTCATGATCAAGGAGACAACAGATTGAGGAGGGAACCAAGTTAAGTACACAAACCAAGGTATCTGTATCAATACTTCTTGAGAACATACATGGAGGGCTGAAAACAACCCTCTTGGGCCATAGTGAACAGCTAATGAGCTGTTGAGTTGTGGGTCCTTGGGGCAAGTAAGGGAAGGAATCCCTGCCACATCAACTGAGACTGACCTTTGAGGTCAAGGGAATGAGCAGTATAGGCTAAAGAGAGAGGAAGAGAGACAGAATTTTCACGAAAATTCTCTATCCTCAATAAGCAACATTCCCACAGTTGCTCCTTGGATTTAGTCACTTAAACTTGGTACCTAAGACTTGGCTAGGAAAGAGTAGGATAAGGAAAACATTAGGTGTAAAGCCATGGAGGCTGGAAAAATCTGGAAAAAAGAGCAGGGTTGGATAGAGGAGGGAGGACCATTTTTGTTCTTCTGGGACTGGGAGGCTGGTGCTATAGCATTTACTGGGCAAAACAGTGAGGGCGTGTGTCAACAGGGTGAGGTGGGGCTGGTTTCTCTGACAATCTCCCTTTTCTAAACCTAGGCCTTCTTTGGCCTCTGATTTTCCTGAGGTGTTGGTATATGGAGATGGGATGTCCTAGATGGGCTAATGAGAGAGGAATCTAGCTTTGAGCTTAAGAGCACCACCCTACTCCCTGGGCTATAACCTTGGCCTATTTCTGGGGGAATAGAGCTTAGTGTGTGTGAGATGGTTGTTTGAGCTATACAAGTATTGGGAGGGGGCTTATTACCCTCCCTGACCTCTCTTGGCTTCTTTCCATTCATGGGGGTTTAACCTTCCATCCGTGAATCCTACCTCTCCCCAATCCCCAGATAAATCACAGAAGGCTCAGGCAGTTCCAACTCCACAGTCACTGGGTAGGAAAATGACAGCTAAGACCCAGCAACACAGACCTAACACATGAGTATTTTCCTTCTGGATGGCTTCAGCCTACTCAACAAGCCTTCAGCAAAGCCAGGAAACCTGAAGCCTAGGCCCATGCCTGCCACACTGTCTTATTCTGAGACCCAAGGCAAATGATTTGTTTTTGGGATGTCCTCATTATGAAATGCCCACTATGTATATAATACTTGCTATGTTGACATACTAGGTACTGGCAGACACAAATGTAGCATAATGATTGCTGCCTTCCGAGAGCTCGATTTTTTTAGTGGGAGTTCATGTATGTACACACTTAACTGTGATACAAATGAAAATGTGAATTAAGTGCACCAGGCTACAGAGTGCTAGGAGATGAGGGGCATCACTTCCAGCTACAGGGCTGGAAAGGCTTCATGGACAAGGCAACATCTGAACTAGATTCTGAAGGATGGAATAGGGCATTGTCAACAGGTAGAGATGGTAAGGAATTATAGGTACAGGGAAAACGAGCAAAGATATAGAGGGTGAATGTTACTTTGGTTGGAAAGCATAAGGGACTAAGGTGAAGTGTCTAAAAATGTACAGGACCTTGAATGCCAGGGTGGGAAATTTGGGGTTTATCTCTTAATGGTTTCTCCTAGGCTCTCTTTTCTTATCTTTCTACAATCTCCCTTGTTGCTTTCCTTTATTCCCAAATCTTCCTCATCATTCCTAATAAACTTTCCCCTGAACTCCACTCCTGCATCACCATCTACCTAAAGGACACTTCTCTATTGGCACATCTAGCTCAGCATGTCAAACTAATCACCACTCCACCCAAAATCCGAGTTCAGTTCATAACTTCAGTGTCCCCCTTGACTCCTCAGGCAGTGGTTAGGGATAGCCCTTAAATGTGCTGCCTTCTCCTAAATCAGGGGGTGCCTTTCCAGGCTCAGCTCAGGTGCTACTGCCTTCACCAAACTTTTCCTGTATCACTGTAGCCGAAGGTATTCTTGCCCTTCTCCATCCCTGGAGGACTCAGTCTGCTTCTCTCCTTTGCCATCATCACTACCCACATTGTAAATACTTCTGGGCACCCTTGTCACATTATCCCCAGCATTGAGCACAATTACTTGCACTTGGTAGGGCACCTCAGGAGAGTTGTTGATTTCTGAGCATTTGAGAAGCCTGATCAGACCTTTGCCTTTCCAAGATTATTTGGGTAGCCCTGTGAGAGATAGGGATGGAGACTAGAGGTGGGAAGGCCAACTAGGAGGCTCCTGTAACAGTCCAATTGTGAGATGGGCTGGTTTAGGGTAGCAGCAGGGCAAATGAAAAGCATGAGGATATAGAATCAATATCCAGGGGAGAACAAGCCCAGAGACTCTGTTTAAAGGATTTGTCTAAAGCCACACTCTTCTAGTTCTGGCTTTGTTGTTAACTCTCATATTCTTGGGCTCTTGGTTCAGGACACTTTGCAAGGACTAAGATGAAAAGAATTGGTTTGAGTTTGGAGAAGAGAAGGCTAAGGAGTCCCTAGGGCCTGGAGAATCTATATGAATGATTCTATTTTTCCAAAAACACATGACTATATCTATTTGAATCACTCACATCAATATGATCTTCAGGGAAAGGTTTAATGTTTATTCTTCACAACAAATATCAGCCATACAAGAAATCTGTCTAACACACAGGACATCTGGATCCAAGCATATAGGAACTTAAAAAATGAATCTTGCCCCTCCTTGGTGATGAAGTCATGAGATAAGATGTTGGTGGGAGAGGTGTAGAGGATGAGGATGGAAGTTGAACATGAGGAGGAATCAGATGGACTCAGATGTGAAAATTTGTTACTGGAAAGTCTTTTCAGCTATGGTGTTGTCTTACACCACACTTGTCTCTAAATTTCTCTGATTACTTCTTCCTCTCTTCCTTCTAAGAACTACTCCCTGCTCCATTTGTAATTATCAGATGGAAGAAGTGGGCCTAAGGTTGCTGGGGCTCTGAGATGAGGGGGCTCAGGGAAAGCAAGAGGGGCCAACTAAACCTAAAGACTTGGTTCCATCTCTAGCATATGAGACTCCCAGATCCTGCAGGACAACCAAGAAGGCTGGAGCTGAAGGCTAGAACTTTTGAAGGAGAGAGAAATGGGGTCTGGAGAGTAAATGCACAGTGGATCAAAGCTCCTGGGCAGAGGGTTTCTGGAAAATGCACAGCAATGGGACACCTGACCCTTGTCACAAAGGGAGCAAAGGCTTCGCCAGGGGGGCAGTTTCAGTTGCACTGGATCCCGAAGACCCTCACCGTTCTGAGATAGATCCTCCTCCTGACCTGAGGATGTAGTCCCAGCCTCATCCAGTAATACAGGCCCCAGAGTAGAAAGACCCAGGTATACCAGGTTCAGAAGGATTTGGCAGCTCCTTACAAAGAAAAGAGAGGGACAGCAATACAAAGCGAGAAAGAGAGAGAGACCCTTCATGGGTCACCCAACATGGGAAAGATTTCTCTCCCAGCCCCAAGAAGATAAGACAACTCCCCTTGGTGCCCTGCCCAGCTCCCCCAACAGTAGAGAATGCACCTGGTGGGGCCAGCCCCTGATCCAGATGCAGCTACAAGTAATCTGGAGGGCTCCTCAAGGTGGAGGTTAATATGGGAAATCTCACTCTGGGAACGAGACTGAGGTTATAATGCCTCCTGATGCATCCTGTTAGGTGAAAGGAAATTTCCTAGGAAGTCAGGCTGATCAATAAGGAGGAACAGTCCCAAGGGGATGAATGTCAGATAGCTTTTGAAAGCGAGGCAACAAGGCAAAGGGGATGAAGGGAGAAGAAAAAACTATGGATAAGGCCTGGCTACAGACCGGGATCAGAGAGAGCTTTCCCTGTGGAGTGAGATTAATGTGGCAGAAAATAACTCTCCTCCCCTAAATCAACCTTCGGAGGGGCAAGTTCACCTAAGCTCAGGCAGACCAGCCTACAGAATCACCTTCCCCTGCCAGGCTGGGTCCAGGTAAGGCCAAATGGAGAAAGGCAACCTTTTCCAAAGTGAGCCACTTCCCGTGACAGACCAGAGCAGAGGGTGCTTTCACCAGGACAGTTCAATCTTGAAGGTGAGTTGTGGGGGTCAGGATGCCTGGGTTCTGAACCAGAAAAATCAAGATCTGAGGGTATGGCTGGATAAACTCACACATGCCAAACAGGTGAAGTGTTCGAGGGTTGGATGGCTAAGGTTCCAGAAGCAGAAAGGAAGAGAGGCTTGGAGGCATGACTCCTGAGGTCTAGGCTCAGTTGACAGCACCATGGAAACCATGCAGGTCTTGGTCCTCCAACCCAGTTAGCTCAACCAACAGATTGTAGAAGTTGGAGAATCTGGATGCAAGTTGCCTCAGCTAATATAGACACGGTGGAAGTCATGAGCCCCAAAAGCAGCATTACACTTTGGGCATTTTCTCTGGCGGGCCTCATAGCGGCCCCGTACACACTCAAAGCAGAAGACGTGAAAGCACTTGGTGAGGACAGCATCTTTCTTCCGGGTGTTACAGCAGGGACAGGTCAACCGGGCCTGAGACACAGGGCATGAAGAAGGGATAGGCTCAGTCAGTCCATCACTGTGTTTTAACCTTCCCCAGGCCCAAAGCCTCTCCTCCTCACCTAGTGAGAACTTTTGGACCCTACCCTGCTCTGTCCCATCTAATCCCACCCAGCCTGCTCACCTTGTACTCCTTTATCTCCTCCTGTAGAATCTCATCAGCATCAGCATAGACCTCTACCTTCTTCTGCTTCTCCAGTTTCCGCCGAAGTCGAGAAATGTCCTCCTAGGGTAAGATTCCTAAGGATTAGTACCTAGAACCCTTGCTCCTAACACCATCCGGCGGAGGCACCGTCTCCTTCCCTAGCCCTGTCCTCACCTGGGCCCTCTTGAGGTTGAAGCTCTCCTTCTCTCGAGCTGCTCGGCTCTCGGCCAGGCAGGGCTGGATTTCCCGAAGCCGGCTCTGCACATGTTCCAGCTGCACCTTGAGGTCCTCAGCCAGCTGTGCTGCTTCCACTGCCTAGAGGTCAGAGGGCAAATGGTGAATGAACTGGGGAGGCCTGGGAGAACTCTGGAATATCTATCACTCAGCCCATGCTCTCACCTTCCTCTTATTCAGCTCCAGCGCTTGGCTTCGTAGGGTCAGCTCCTTCTCTATGCTCCCCAGGCTGCCCTGAAGAACTCGTTCCTTCTCTTCCAGCTTCTGTACCACCAAAAGCTGAGCATCCACCTAGGGTATGAGGGGATGGTACCTGAGTGCCTGGTGGCTTCTTTGCCTCACTTGTGCCCCCCCCCACCCCCTGCCAGTGTCTGCACCTGAGACTTGAGGCCCAGGACTTGCTCCCCCAGCTCATCCTTCTCTTCCCGGAGCAGCTTATGTATCTGGTTGGACTTGATTCTCTCCGACATTAGCTTGAAGTTGGCATCATCCTTTTCCCGCAGCTGTTGTATAAGGCGACCATTTTGCTCCTGCATGTCCTCAAAAGCCTGACCAGTCACGTCCATCTCTGACAGCAGTGCTTCCTCCTCCTGGGGGAACACATCTACGGTTGGTGGGGGGAAGGGGCGGTATGGGAAGGAGAGGAACGAACGGACAGCTGGGCCTCCACACCTGCTTGGTGGCCCCGAGTTTGCGCTGCAGGTGCTCAATCTGTTCCTCTGCCAGTCGGATCCTTCGAAGAGCGTCCTCATCGGCCAGCTTCTTACTCTCTCTCCTTTCCTTCTCCTCCAAATCCCGGATGCGGCCCCGAAGCTCATCTACCTGTGGCAGGTACAGGGACTAAGTCTGGGGGGAAGATCATCGTTGGCCTGTCCCTTCCACTACAACTTCTGGAGCTTTCGGGGCTTTTTCCTTTTGTAGGTAACGTAACTCAGCCCAACGCAAGTCCCAGAAGTGGCTATTACTCCTGACCCGAGTTATTCGTGCTCTTTCTCAGACATACTTCAGAACACAGGTGAGACCATCTGCTCTCAGGACAGTCCATGACTGACCCCACTGTCCTTATCTAGCTTGACCAGGAAAGCCTTGGCTGCTCACTATATCCCCACTCAGAACTTGGAATCTAGTCAAAGTAGCTGCTCCCCCTCCATCCCAGAAGCCATTCCTGTGCCCTTTACTTCTCCAGCCCAAGCACAAAGACTACCCCATCTACAGGTCTGTCTTTCTGCCTTCCTGGAGGCTAAAACAGCCTTTCTCCCTTCAATCACTAGTCATCACCTTTATCCTTTATCTCCTGCTCTTGCTACCAAACCTCCTTAGAATCATTACTCAAACTCAGAGCTGGACTAGGTCTCAGAGGTTGTCCAGTATAGCCCTTGCCTGAAATCAAAATCCCTCACAAGTGATTTATCTAGCCATTGACTGAAGACCTCAAGTGATAGAAAACTCATTAGCTACTGTCCACTCCAATACTGGACTGCTCTAATTTGAACAAGCTGGCAAAATATGTGAGTATAACTTCTAATGAGGTCAAACAATAAGTATTCTCCCTCTTCTACATAATAGCCTTTTGAAGATGTGAAGCCATTATCTGTCTTCTCTAAGTATTCAATACTCCAAGTTAAACATTCATAATTCTTCCAACTGGTCCTTATATGCTACAGTTTTGAGCCTTATCACCACCCTCGTTGCTTGCCTATGGTATGGACACGCCTCAGCTTGGGGTCCACAAATGAACACTGAGACTATGACAGCCATAGTTCTCTATCCCATGTTGCTACTCATGCAGCCTGAGATCCCATAAGCTTTTTTGCCTGTCAAATCACAATGCTTCTAAGCTCAAACAAGAGGGACTCACAAAATGATGCCTATGCCGCACTGATCCTGAACGTGCCCCTCTTTCTCCCTCCCCAAAGGACAGAATGGCTTTAAATTGATCACCCTCACTTCAATCCACATCCCACCCTCCCATCTCTCTCTCTGCCTAGCAAGAGCTCCCCAACCCCACTTGTTCCTCCAATATCTATCACCTCAGCCTTGGCCTTGCGTTCTGCAGCCATGAGCTGCACCTTGTCCCTCTGCTCCTTGGGGGCAGACTTGTACATGTCCAGCAGCAATTTCATCTCCTTCTGACTTTCTTGGGCCTTCCTGGCCAGGGAAGAAGCCAAGTTGGAGAGAAAAGTAGATTTTGTGAGAAGGTTGGGGGGGGGCAGGGGGAGGGAAAGGGGTCAGAGGAAGAGACCAAAGTGTGGTAGAGATTATAAGAAAGGGCAAAAGGGGGAGGTCATAAGGAAGGAGTAAACAATAGGTGCAACACATGTCAAGCAGGGACTGAGGCTGTCTTGGAATACCATAGTAACTGGTATGAGAGCTGGAAAAGATCATCTACACCCCTCAACTGGTAGATGTGGGAAATGTGGCTTGTAGTGGGCAGATGACTTACTCAAAGTCAAACAGTAAGTGATGGAATCAGAACTAGTACCTAGAACAAGCCAGGGTTGACTCTGAGCACAGTTCTTCAACTGTTGCACATTTATTTGCCTTTTAGCTGATAAGGGTGACAGAACGAATGTAGAAGAAAATGGTAAGGAAGAGACCCAGGAGAGGGAAAGGGATGAGAGGAAGAGAGGACTTGGGATAAGTAGGTAAGGGGTCGAGGCTGGTTCTCACTTGAGCTCTCCTCGAAGTCCCTTGAGTAATTCTGATTCTTTCCTCTTGCTCTCCTCAGCCTTGGCTTTGTCTCGATCTCCCCTTGAGGAAGAGGATGTTGGGGTTCCAGAACCTGGCCCTTCCCGGTCTCGGGGCTCTCGTTTTCCTCGAGGCTCAGCCTCCCGGCTCCTGGAAGCAGGGGTTTGGGGTGTAGAGTGTGGGGTTTGGGCCTGGGTAAGAGGCACCTCCTCTTCAAAAGGGGGCTCTTCTTTCTTCACCACGCTGGCCGTGGAAGCTGTGGGGGTAACTGGGGCTGAGACTGACTCTTTTTTGACCTCCTGGAGAGCAGCTGGCCCTGACCCAGAACTCTCCTCTTCTTTCACTGGGGCCAGTGTTCCCCCTCCTCCTGATCCCTGATCCTCAGAGGCAGTTTGGGATGGGGCTGAAGGGCCTGAGCCGACAGTCTGTGCCCGGAGCTATGAGAACCCAGAAAGGAGAGAAGTGTCACGGCTATGAAGTCCCTGGCAGCACTGAACACTCTCATCAAAGCCTGATTCATTCAAGACTTTCTAGCCCACCCTGCCACATGTTCTAGTCCACAGACTTCTAAACAATAATTCGCTGGCTCCCTTTACAAAATTATATGATACAATAAACGATTATTCAGTGCCTATGGTGTGCCAGGCATTATGCTACCCCACATCTCAATAACAAATCACATTTCCAAAGCACTTTCCTCACTACCACCCTGTGAGTAGTGAAAACATCATCCCTGTTTTACAGATGATGACAAAGTCTCGGAAAGGTCAAGTGACTTGCCCACTAATGTGGCCCCACCCAAGCTCCTGACCTTGCCAATCTCCGCCTGCACCTCCCTCAGCTTCCTCTTATACCGCTGTGCGTCGCCCTTCAGCTGGTGGTTGTGGTTTTGCAGGCTGCTGATCAGATGGCGCATCTCCCGGTTGATGGGCCCTAAGGGCAAAGGTGGGTGGAGGGAACTTCAGGGTGACAGCAGAAACTCACCTGGATCACACCCTGAGGTTTTCACTTCCCCTCAAAGGGGTGAAGGAGAAGGAGTCCCTCAGGGTCCCTGTCACAAAAGTACAGAAAGCTGGGAAACTACTACCAGACATTTGTATATACTTTAGATTTTTCTTAAAACACTTTCATACACATTTGTATTAACTCATTCTCAAAAACCTCTGAGGGGGAGTGAGAGCCTTACTTTGTCACCATTTCAGAAGAGGAAATGGAGCCCCAGATGGTGACATGACTTACAGCATTCACAAACAGCAACAGAGCTGGAACTAGAAAAACCAGGCTTCTTGACTTGAAGTCCACTGGTCTTTACAATACACACTGTCTCAAGACCTAGGTTAGCCCCGATGGTACCAGGGACCCTTTTAACCTCCAACATCCCTTACCTGCCTGCTCGTTGGCTGCCAGGTTCTGCTCAAATTCGATTCGCAGCATCTCATACTCTTTGCGCACCTGCGCTAATGTGTCCTCTAGCTGAATCACTTCAGTTCGAAGCTTCTTTTGCAGACTCAGCTCATCACTCTGCCCATGATCAAGAGCACAGAAATTGGGAGGTAGAGGCCAAAGAAGGGATACCTCTCTCATTGAATCTTCCTACCCAATGCTGGGAAACCAAGTTTCCTAGCTCTAAATCCATTGCTTTTTACAATACACATTGTCCTAGGCCTATGCTAAGCCCTAAAGATATCATGACCCCATTCCCTCTCTTTCCTTCAAAAGACAGTACAATCACAATCCCTGCTATGCTACAGAGTTTAGGCAGAGTGCAATTTAACTTCTTTCCCAATAGGAAAAGAAGAATTAAAGATACCTCTTGTTGCACAATGGTATCGTTCCACCCACAACCCTACTTCATCTCCTCCTCTCCACACATCCCCTCTCCTCCCTAAGGAAAGAAATGTGTCTATGTTTAAGAAAAATACACTGAATTAAAAGCAGCACCTCAGAGATAGAAAACCATTGATGCCTAATTAGAAATTTACAACAACTACACAAACCCCCTGTTCACAGTTAGTCTTTTTTCCCCCTTTATTTAGAATGGAATTGGGTGACATGCATTAGAATATCGGCTCTGCTTCTTTGTTTCCCCCTTCCTACTTCCCCAAATGCTATGATACATCAAAGGACTAGAGTCCCCATCTCCACTGTAAATGGTGCCCTGGGCCTTTGCTGGGGGATAGCAGAAGGAAGATAAAATGATTTAGGGGTTGGAAGCAGATGATGAGTCTATTGAAACTGTTTCCCTTACCTCCATGTGCTCAATGTGCCTGAGATGGGAGTTCTTGGTAGCCAGAAGTAGCCCCCGTGCCTCATCTAGCTGGGTCTTCACTTGCAAGGATTCATTGTAGAGCAAAGAGAACTGAGCCTGGAGCAGTCGGTATTCACCAGTCTCTCTTACCACTTCTTCAGGCAGGCTCCGAAGAGCCACCTGGGAGTCAAAAAGGTAACAGAATAATAAAGTCCCTGCATCATTTGGTCCAAATCCTTCCCCACTTTTAAAGACACTCTCTGCAGTGACATCTTCTCCTGAACTATTATTCTCTCCTCCCTGTCCCAGGCCTCACCTTGAGCCGTTCATTGCTCCGCACAGCACCCTGCAGCTCCGCCTGAAGCTTTTCTAACTCTGCCATGCGGCTATTGGCCAGCTCTTGGTTCTCTTCTAGCTCAGCATTCAGCATCTCAAACTGGGCCAGGGCAGCAAGATAAAGGAAGGGACAGAGATATGTGAGCAAAAATAGACAACCAAAATAGGATCTCGGAAGGGGAGAGGGATTTCAAGGGTCTTAAGAGAATGCAACTCTAAGGGAATGATGGGGAATAGAAGACTAGTAGCTCACCTTTTGCATACTGAGTGTGATTTGGCCTCCTTGGAAACTCCCTGAGCTCCCTGATACATAGTAGCCTGAATTGAGCTAGAACAGAATAAAAAGAACCAGAATCATAGGAGTCTAGAAACCAACTCACTGACCTTCCCTTTATCTTCTCCCAATCCCTACCTGCTCCAGAGCCTCAGCTAGGTGCTTATTGAGCTTCTGTTCCCGTTTGCGCAGTTTCTCAATGTCCCACTGAAGATCCTCCACTGAAGTCTCCATCTCCAGCACCTTGGTCTCTGCTGACGTCACCTTGTCTTGGAGTTCTGAGTACTGTGGAGGTGAAGTAGTGAGGTGTGGGCTGAGTGTTCTCTTATTTCCTCCCCACGTTCATCCAATTGCCCCATATCAGCAGTCTTACTTCCAGAGAGATTCGGTGGTGCTTCTCCTGCAGGTGTGTGGTCAAGTCCTGCAGTCGCCTGTTGTCTTGTCCGAGTTCCCTGGTTAAAGTCCGAAGTCCTTCCCCGAGGGACTCACACTCTCCTGGAAAAGCAGGGACTGATAAGAGGGCAGTGGCAACCAGAAGAAAAAGATAGCAGCAGGAAACTGAGATTGTGTGACAGACAAAAGGTTCCTAGAAGGAACTGGGGAAATGTGCAATAGGCAGCATATGGCCATCCGCAGTCAAATAAAAACTGATATGCCTTAGTTCTGAACAGGGAAGGGGGTTGAGTGCTCTTGGATTCACCTCTGCTTTGGACTCGATGACACAGTTCTTCTACTCGCCGATGAAGTCGGTCTGAGGCCTCTACTACTCTGGACACTGCTGCCTTGGAGAACTCCATGCGGCCCTGGAGCTGAAGTTCTACCTCTTCACTACTGCTGGCCCCCAGGGCTGCCACAAAAGCCAAAGCTGGCTCGCTCAGTGGGGGCCGGAGCTGGAGAGTGGGCAGATCTGTAACAGAGATCCAAATATGACCGTCACATTTGACATGGGCATGCTATAGGGTGTGAAAAGCAATAATGAAAAGGAGAAAGGAGAAGGAGCGTTCTGCATAAGGTGTGGTGAATCAAAACCCTACTCTAACTCCTAACAAGTAGGCCCTTTATTAATAACTAACATTTATATGTCACTTAAAGATGTGTACTGTCTCCACTCTGCTCATCACTTTCCCTATGATTTTTTGATATCTCTCCACCACTGGTCTCACCTCTTCTCTCTGTGGTTCCCAGTTCAGGCAGAGGGGCCCCATCAGGTTCAGTGCCATCTTGAGCTCCTGGTTCCTCTGTCCTAGATAGCAATTCTCCCCGTCCCTCATGTCGTCGAAGTAGGACCTCTACAGTTTCATCCAGCTGTGAGGGAGCAGCAGAACATGACTTTTCTGGAGACCTCAATGGCGAAAACACCTCTCCCCAAAAGAGGACCACGAAAACTCGGAAGTGGAGATTAAAAAAGATCTCAAAGAAAACTGGGGACTGATACAGGGTCTGAGATAAAAGGAACAAGAAAATGAAGACGCATGGCCTAAAAGAAGCAAGGGGATCCCAGCGTTCTGGACTAGATAAACTTAGGTAAATGGCAGGAATCACGGTCGGTGGAGACATACCTGGGCCCAGTAGCGGTTGACAATGAGCAACGTAGCATCGTCAGTGGCCTGGCGCTTTTCTAGCTTTTCAATCCGCTCCCTTAATTCATCTTCACAGGCCTGTCGTTGCTCCAGTCGCTCAGCCAACTTTTTATTCTTGAACTGTAGCACCTTCAGGTCCATCTCCTCCTGTAGAAGGCGGAGTGAGTAAAAGAACATATGGGTCAGGAAGAGTGTAATAAAATGTCAAAAAAAAAAAAGAGAAATGGAAAGCAGAGTCCTGAAAAAGGTATGGTGAATCAAAATCTCATTGTAACGCCTAACAAGGGGGCCCCCTAATAATGTCAAGTGAATTTAAACAGCACTTTAAAGTTCATAAAGTACTTTACATATGATCTCCTTTAAACCACACAACAATCCTGCAAAATGGGCATTACTAATTTCCCACAAGGGGAAACTGAGGCTAGAGAAGTTGTGATTTGTATCAGAAGTAGGATTCTGAACCAAGTCTTCCTGACTCCAAGTCTAGCATTCCATCCACCACATCACAAAGCATTAAAAACATTAATGAAGACATGTTAACGAAACACATGTAGCCATAAAAGTGAGTTAAAGCTCTACTGAATTGGAAGGGTAACAAAGGGACAGCTTGACTGCTACAGTGGTTCTCCCCAAATACTTAAGGAACCAGAAGACCTTCAGTGTTTCAGGTTGGTTTCCTGCAGAATATTTACATAAAAGCAGAGACAAGAATTAGAAAAGATGAGAGGGGGTAGACTGATGTAATCTCTTCTCAGGAGGGTGAGATCAGATTTGGATCGATCCAACTACCTAAGAAATAACAATGTGGGGGACGTTAAGGTTTACATAGTTGGATGCTTGTGGGTTAACCTCGTTTTACATAGAAACCTGAGGCTCCTAGGCCATATAATTGACTTGGCCACGGCCAGGCTTCCGGATCCGAGTTTCATTCCTTTAGATTCCAATTCAGGGGCTCTTTCCAATACACTGGGTGTTGTGTCGGGGATGAGCGGCAAGGACGGGGGTGAGGTGTGGGAAGGGGGGCAGGATGGGGAGCAGGGGGAGAAGGGCAAGACGGGTAAGGAGGGGAAGGGGCTGCACTGACCGTGGAGGAGATTCCTCCCAGGCGGATGGGCTCGATAAGGGTGGTCGTGGTCTTCTCCTCTCGATTCTGCTTCTTCTCCGAGGGGCCCGAGCCCCCATCCCCGGCTGCGCGCTTGTTGCCGGCCCCCGACATGGCTGCAAAGAAGGTGGGCGACCGGAGGCGGCTCTTCCTTCACCTGCGAGAGAGGCGGGGTCCGGGGAGGCTCAGGGTCCCAGTGGGGGCGGGGAGGCCTCGCTCCTTCTTTCCCTCTCCTTCCTTCTTATCTTCTCCCAGGGAGGCTTCAGTTTCTTCGGACAGCTCCCCAGGTGACCAGCGGCCTACTTCTCTGGGTCCTGGCCCCCAACAGTCCCAGGCGATCCTCACCTGTCCCAGGCTCCGCCAAACGCCGCCATGATGTACGTCACCGGATGTCGCACTGAATGCCTACAAAACGCGCAGGCGCGGAGGAGTGGGCGGGTACGTAGCTGAATTGGTAAGTTTTCTTTTCCCATTGGTCAGAGCCTCTTGCCTCCGGAATGCTTTCTCACTCAGCAGCCCATCCTCTTCCCCTTGATTGGTGAAACGACAAAGTACCATAGCAACCGTCTCCATAACCATACTTCCTCTGTCCCAGTAACTCCACCCTCTTCCTTATTGGTAATATTGAGAGGACCTCATATGTTCGCGGCGGAAAATACTGCGCTTGCGCAGGATTTTCTCATTTATTGGTCCGCTCTTCACTCCTGTCACGCCTTTACCCCGCCTTCATAAGTCACCTTAGCGACCACCAACCCAAGCAACGACGCTTTTGACGGATTGGCTGAACCAAGACTATTTCTGGGTCCCGATTGGCTGACGTGTTACCACAGGGGCAAGGCCTCAATGCTCTGACCCGTAGCCTAGGTCTGAAGGCACACAAAGCCGAGGAACAGAGCCACGGGGGCTGGGGAGGCAGCAGTAGGTGCCGCAATGAAACGAAGAAAATCAAGTGGAGTTTCCGGACTAAGCTCTGTTGTGGGATTGGGCTTCAGCCCAAACTCCGAGGAGCTGCTGGATGCGGCCCGGGGCCTGAACCAGCAAGCAGAACTGAATTTGGAGATGGAGAAAGAGCTAAATCAAGAGCTACATCCGGAACCTGGGGGAGAAAGCAAAGAGGAGGAGCTGGGCGCCACCCTGTTGCCGGTGAGCTCGGGACACGTTTGTTCGCTCATGGATAGTCATCAGGGACTTTTATTTACCCCTAGCTTTCCCAGTTGCGGGACCGTACGCCTGTAATCCAGAGGAGCGGGTCGGGTCAGCTTTTAGGACTCCAGGCCCCTTAACGTTCTGAGCCTGGCTAGTCTTTGCAAGGCTCCAGCCCCTAACTTCTCTGCGAAGAACTGCTGAAGCCCGGGCAGGAATGGCCATGTTACCCTCGTGATATTTTCGCTGCATCCCAGGGAATGGGGTGGGGCGTGCCTGGCTTGTGAATACTCATGAGCACATGAGCGTTCACGCGCCGGGGACTGAGAAGCTCGCCTGCTTCGCGCCCTCGGATTTCCTTTTAGAAAGCCCAAGAGCAGAGAACCCTGGGGCCCCCGCTAACCTGGCAGCATTGTCACACAACCCTCTTTCTCCGCAGCCGCCACTTCCTCCGCCCCGGATCTGCTTGTGGTGAGCTCGGGGCTGGGACTGGGGCGGCGGGTGGGCTGGGAGAGATCAGGGAAGGGGGTGAGCAGAGTGTAAGGGAGTGTTTTAGAACCACAGAGTCATCCAGGCAGACATAAGGAAACAGGCCCCGAGAGGACCAAGCAGAGAGCGACAAAACTCAAGACTAGAATTCGGGTCTCATGACTCTCAATCCAACCGGCATGTGGTGGATGCCTCTTCCAACCGCCTTGCTTTCTCTTTTCAAATGGCAGGAAATACCTGGATGTACATTTCATGTACCTACTGGAGAAAACCACCACCTTGGAAGAGATGCAGGAGTACGGGCTAAGTAAATTAAGAGGGTTCGAATAGATTACCTCAAAGGTCCTCCCCCCACCCCAATAATCTGTTTCTTTGAATGGATGAGGAAAACAAGGAGGGAGGGAGCTCACACCAGGAAGAAAGATAGACCTTCCTAGGAATCCAGGATGGGGTAACTGAAAAGGATCTTTTACTGCTGAACTGGTTGCTCTCTACCCTCACCTTAATCCACCCCAAGGTTGCTGGCAGAACTGCTAGGCCTGGGGAAGGCTGACAGGAGCCCTAGGGAGGCAGTGATACTGGATATGTTTTGCCACACCTTGATCTTCTGCCGGCAACAGCACTTCTCTCAGGAGCAGACCTCGGCTGCTTGTGCTCTGCTTCAGGACCTCCACAAGGCCTGTATTGGTGAGTCGAAGTGTTAGAGCCCCAGGGAGAAGGGCCTTGCAAAGATTATTCAGATCCAGGCTGAGAAGGGTGGGTGGAAGGGGCTGAGGTAGGCAAGGTTGGGCAGGGGTGACGGTGAGCATCAAATGGTGCTAGCTTGGTACTGGCTGGGCAACTGCAGTAGTAAGGGTGAGGGTGAGTTTCTCTGGGTTCAGAAGTGAAATGAACAGTAACCCAGAAGCCATATCTCTAATTTATTCTGTAGTCATCATTTGTACATAGTTTGTTGTTTGTTTTGTTTTGTTTTTGCATTTGTCTCCATTAGGTTGTGAGCTTCTTGAGGCAGAGACTGTTTTTACCTTTGTATCCTAAGTGCTTTGCACAGTACTGTGCCTGACACATAGTAGGCACTTAATGGTTGTTAATTTGACGTGTACAGAACATGAAGGCTATCAGAAATAAGGTTAACAGCAGAATATTGGGGGAGACCTCAAGAGTTTTACTTCAGCCTTATGTGGAAGGGCAAATAGGCCAAGGGAGGGGAAATCACTTATTCCAGGTGACAGTGATGGGTAGTAGTGAATAGAAATAGCCTTGGAACCAGGAAGCCCTGGGTCCAAGTGTTACCTCTGATATACACTAGCTGTGTGATACTGAGCAAATAACCCAAGTTATAACTTCTCAGTTTTTAGGCAACTCTTTTAAGAAGTTGCAGAGAAGGTGCCCTCTTGCATCAGCAAAGGGAGTAACCTCATCCCAGAGTTCTGTATATCACTACAGTTAGAGACCCAATCCCTATTCCTAGACCTAGGTCATTTCATTCCTTTTTTTCCACATGGCTGAGGGGAGTTATAACTGTCACTTATTTTTCCTTCTCCACAGCAACCCCCTTGGGCAACGTGGAAGAATGTTTCCAATTTTTCACCAACCTCCTCTTCTGCCATGGAGTCAGGGTCAGTCCCATCATAGTGGAAATGAGAAATCTGACAAATTTAGAACATCCTCATCCCAATGCTGTAGAATTTTTTATTTCCCTCCTTTACCTCAAGTCCTAGGAAGCCAAAGCTGTAGTACTCTCTCCCTTTCTTTGCTCTGAAGGTTCTGTAAGAAAAAGAAGCAAGCTATATATTCTTACCCTTTCCCACAGCGGCCCCCCTTCAGCGTTGACCTATTTGGGGAAGAACAACTGCTGAGCCTATCAGATTATATCATCAACACCTACTTCCGTCATTTTAAGCTCTACAAGTATGTCTTCACTCCCCAGGTACTGGTCCCATAGGATACAAGAAACCTCCCAGTCTATTCCTTCTTCCATTTCCCTATCTTAACATAGTTGTCATTCCTTTCTTCCTCCTCCAAAATTCACTCTGCTCTCCCAGGTGCGGTTAGACTTGTCTTTGAGATATGTAGGTCTGCCTGAAGTAAAGCCCCCAGCAGATGGTAAGTAGGGTAGAGATTAAAGTGGGCCTGGGAAGAGGATTGGGAAGCATGCCCTAGGGCTCATGGCTCTCCTCCCTTTCATTTTGTAGTACAAGGGGAAGAAAGGGTAGTGGAGACAGCATCTCCTGTTCTAGAAGAGCCAGCACCAGAAATCAAAACTGAGCAAGAACCAAGTAAGGCATCAAGGGGCACCTGTTTCCCTAGGCCTTCCCTGGGAAGCTATTTTCTTTCTTATCCTGTAGAAAAAAAAAATTCTTCTGCTCACAGTCTTAGTAGGTGGGCTTCCTTCTGGCCAAAGGGAGCTCCTTAAGGACTAAATTGAAAATACTGAATTGAGAATAGTGTATTTCCTACCTCCCAGGACACTCATTGGTCATGTCACCATGACATCATGAATCCTTTCTCCTCACAACTTGGGACTGAGGTTCTCTTATGTAAAAGGTTCCTTCAGCTCAAATATGAACCACTTTTTCAACAACCCAGGTCCGGGTGATATACTCCGAGATTTCATCTCAGCCCAGCTTACCCAGGAGCTGGGACAACTCAAGCAGTTGGTGGAGGAACGACTAAAGGCTGGTGAGGAGCAGCTCAATAGCAGGCTGGCTGCCCTTGAGAATCCTACCTTAGTCTCCAAGAGCAAAAACAAAGCCAAGTCACCCCTGGAGCATTTACCCAAATAAAAGCCTGGGCCAGAGAAGTACCCTGTCCCTTCCCCCAGGTCCTCTTCTGAGCACCTTCTCACTCCACCTTGAGACACAACTTGTTTCCCAGTGTGCAGGATGATTTATTTCACATGAAAAATGGACAGCAACAGCAAAGATATGAATATCATTCTCAGCTGGTCCCTTTTCCTTCCATTCAAGTCCTGTAGTCCTGAGCAACAGTGATGGGGGCATAGCACTGGTCCCCTTTACAGTAGCATCATCATCAGAGAGCACAAGAGACGGGAAGAATGCCTTCAGCCAGAGTCCAAAGTGACTGAGTTGACTGAAGCCCTCAGATTGGGAAACCTGGACTTCCCAAGCCTCTTGGGCTGGGAAGCAGACTTCTGGGGGCTCCAGGATGGAGGTCTTAACTATGCAACAATAGATTCATCATCAGTGTTGGTTGGATCTCCCTCCTCTTCTGGATTGTAGCCCAGGTATGGGCCAGGAGGCCGGTGTTGGAAGAGGGCCGCCCTGTTCTGTTGCTCGCCCTTCTTTACCCAGTGTCCATAGAGGCGGAAGGCACAACTGTCAATGAGTTGTCTTACTGGTCGAAGCCCATATGGGTCTCCTAATAGAGCTCCCTTGGTCATGGGCTTTACCCGGCGAGCGCTCAGGGCTACTCGGCCTGCAGCCAACACTGTCCATACTGCTACCTGAGAGGGAAAAAAAAACAAACCACAAGAAAAACAAGATCATGGACACACTAAAAGTATGAGTTGACACCTGTGAAGGATAGTTGGGTCCCAGGGAAACAATATCATCTCTTATCACCTAGGTGCAAGAGAAGGGTAAAGTGAGGTACATGTGTGGTAGTAGTGGGTTTTGTTTTCCCAGCAGCCTCTGTCTTGTAGTATTTTCTCTCTGTTCCTTACCCTGAATCGCTGAAGGGGAGAAAGGCTCCAGGCCTGGCTACCCTCACAGCGTTGGAAGAAGGGATGCTGCAGGGCCTGCTCTGCAGTCAGTCTTTCCTCAGGGTCCACCTGGAGCAGCCTTGAGATCTAAGAGAGGGCAGGGGCCATGAGACACTTCTTCCCTTTACTCCTGGACTACTTCAACTCCCCCATCGCTTTCAGCCTTTGATCTGCTCACCAGGTCTTTGACAGTTGCTGATCGGTCATCCCATTCTGGTGACCTGAACTGGTATCGGCCCTCCATGATCAATCTTAGCATCAGGATCTGGCGTCGATGCCAGAATGGGGGAGAGCCAGCCAGGAGTGTGAACAAGATCACCCCACAGGCCCAGCTGTGAAGGGAAGACGACCAGGTTTAGGAGCTGGGGGGTGGGGGGGATGAAATTGGGGAAAGAAGACCAACCAAGTAACTAGTGACTCACAGGTCAACCTCCTTGCCATAGCCAGGGTGGGTTTCATCCATGGAGCACTTCAGAATCTCTGGGGCTAAGTATCCTGGGGTCCCACACAATTCTGGAGAGATAAGGACACATTAGCAATACTGCTAACATCCTACTGCTGCCCCCTGGAGCTTTGGTTACTACAACTCCTAGCTAGTTTCCCTACCTCTAGGCTTTCCCTCTCCTCCAATCCATTATATTTGTAGCTACTGGGAAGTGTCTCAGATATTATTTTCCTTTTATCACCCTCCCAGCTGAAAATGCCTGCCTGGCCTCCTGTTCACATATTTGATCAAATCCACAATTTCTTTGACTAGATAGACATAAAGGTCTTCTCCAACCTTATTTCAGTCAACTAAATCTGTTTATAATCCCACACATAATTTGCTCATTTCTAACCTGGAATGCATTTTTTCTTGGAAAATCTATTTCCTCTGTGAAGGTTTCCCTAGTTACCAACACAATTTCACACTCTCAGTATCTTAAGGACACAATATGTGTAAGTCACTAACATTAAAATGGGAATGTTTCAGGGAATGTGGTAGAATGATTAACTCATTTTTCTCAGCTAATAAAAGCTCCTTGTTTTAAACCTTGTTACTGAAAATCCTTTCAATAATACACTATAGTTCAAGGAACTAACAATCTTTTGTTGGTAGGAATCTTGTAGAGCTTCAGGGAGGTACTTGCTAAAAGTCAATAATGTTTGTCTAATATTGTAGACAAAGGAAACTAGACAGAATCTGTAATGACCCCAGGTCATATAACTTTTAAGTACGTGCTTTGAATAAATTGCTATTAGTTTATTTTAACGTGATTTATCTGTTTCACCCAGAAATTGAGACTATCTCACAGTCTAACTGGGGCTTCCCACTTGTTGCTGGATTCCAGTTAACTGAGGCTCCATCTTTTGTTCTGTACTTTTTTTGACAAGTTGTGACTATTTCTAAAGTTATCTCACAAAGATCTCTACCCACCTAGAATGAGTTCCTTGAGCACAGGCTTCTACACATCCTTAATGACTTCTCCTTTCTTCTGTACCTAAGGTATGTGCTTCCCAGTCACCTTCTTCATCAGGTCTTTGGCCCCTTCCCAACCAAGATTTAGCTGCTCAGGATGACTGACTCCCCCTACCTCGAAGTTTCTCGCCAGGTTCCAAGTGGCAGGAAAAACCGAAATCAGAAAGTCGAATCTGCAAACTGTCATCTAGGAGAATATTCTCAGGCTTCAGGTCACGGTGCACGATGTTGTTGGCATGAAGAAAATTCACAGCCTCCAGCAGAGACCGCATGATAGGCCTGGGGGGAAAGCCTTCTCCTCTGCAGTCTGAGCCAGCACCTTTCAAACCTAGCAGTTCTTTCCCCATCCCCTCCTTTTTGTGGGGACACAGAAAGCCTTTTCCCTTTCAGTTCCCTCATTCCCTGGGTACCAGGGCCTTTGCCCTTCTCTTCCCTTTGGTTTTCATCCCGAGTCTCCTTTTTACCTGGCCTCTTTCTCTGTGAGAGCAACCTTCTCTGTGAGGTAGTCAAACAGCTCTCCTTTCCGCATTCTAAAAGATGAAAGATCAATGGGAATATGATGCATCTTGATGGGAAGCTAAGGGGAACCAGTCATTGCATCCTTAAGTTTAGTTAAACAAATACTTATTAAATGCCCACTATATGCAAGGTCATCACAGTACTAAGTGTCCAAGACAAGAAACAGTCTCTTGATAGTTTCTACTCTTGGAAGAAGCCAAAGGGCCTATAATGTGTTCTACAACTGACAAGCCTAAGTTTAAAAAAATGAGGGGATCCCTCAGGCTCATCAAACAGGGCCTGCTTCTTATGGATTGTCAAAGCCCCAGAGAAATAGATGGCCATTACTTAGTCACATAGGCTGTAAACCCCGTGAAGTATTCAAGGGTCTGTTTTAGCTCGGTGATGTGTCTTTTTCAATGCCTTCCTGATTAAAGGCATTACCTTAGGGTTGTCATTTTCACTCTTAGGAAAGGAGGCACAGAAGGCAAAAGAAAAAAGGAGGGAAGCCTGGGAAGCAGGGTCCAGAGCCATAGAAAGGAAACTGAGAAAGATGTGGGGAGCAGGCTGTCACACCTACAGAGGGATGACGTTAGGGAAGTGGGCCAGGAACAAGGCTATGGAAAGTTTTCAAACCTGGGCAGGGAGATACTCACAGGTCAAACACCAGGAACATGAAGGTAGAAGACTCGTAGGAATCGATGAGGGTGACTGGGGAAAGAGGGAAAAAGAAAAGGAAAGGCACAGAGAAATGGAAAGGAGGAGACACATTAAAGGTGCTTTTTTTTACTGTTAGAGATGGGAGCTATTATAGGAAAAGGAAAAAGATGTAAGATGGGGAGTTACGGGGTCCAAGGGTTATGCATTCATAATGGCACAAAGCCAGAATGGGATGAATAAGCAATGTTGGGGTAGGAGGGAGAATCTTTTTGGGGACAATTCGGGGCTGGTCAGGGTAACTGAGTTATCAAAGAAAGGAGGTATAGCCTCACTGATGTGGGGGTGGCCAGCAACCTGGCGCAGGATCTGGGTTTCTCTTCGAGTTGCTTCTCGCACCTCCTCCAGTTGCTCAGGACTCAACCTTTCAGCAGTAACCTCCATGATCTTCACTGCAAACTCCTGGCCAGTAGCACGGTGAACACAGCGCCTGACCACAGAACTTATGCCCCTGATTGAGGGTGGGGTGGGGGAAAGGACCAACAAAAAAAAAGGGATGGTAAGAGGGCCAAACTTTTCTTCTTACTGCCTACCATTTGCACATTCTGCCACCCCCTAACCACCTGATAACCTTCCTTGTACTTTATCCTTGGTTCAGATCACCTTATGGCCTCTTCCCAACCCTCTATCTCTTATCCCCTCCTCTTTTTCCAGCTGTCTGCTTAGATAGAACTTATCTATAGGAAATAAATCAAGAAATATTTGTTGATTAAAAGAATATAAGGATTGGGAGTCAGCTTTGCCACTAACATCATAATACCCAAAGTTATACAGAAGCAATCTGTTTCTTTACCTAATTTGAATTTATGATAGTGATTTAAGGTTTGTAAACACTTGTCTCAATACCCCTATGAGACAGGGGGTGCAAATATCTCCATTTTATAGGTGAAGAAGTTAAGAAGCAGAGAGGTTCAATGACTTGTTGAGGGTCATTATGTCTATTAAGTGTCAGTGTCAAGATTCAAACCCAGGCGTCTCCTGGCTACATGTCCAATGCTATTCCCACTAAACAATGAAGCCTGTGTCTCTCTTCAACTTCATATGAAGACAGTAATACCCTGTGGTTTTGGGGAGCATCAAATAGTCCTTCATATTTGTACAATGCTTAGATAGAAGCATTTTTGGGGTGGGGGAGGGAAACAATTGGGGTTGAGTGACTTACCCTAGATTACACAGCTAGTAAGTGTCTGAGCTGTGTTTGAACTCAGTTCCTCCCGACTCCAGGGCCAGTGCTTTATATTCACTGTGCCACCTAGCTGCCCCGATAGATTCTTGCAAAGCAATTGCCCATCCACAACAATCACAGTATCTCAGTGTTAGAAAGGACATCAGAACCTACATATACTTTAATATTTATAGTAGCATTTTTTGTAGTTGTAAAGAATCAAAACCAAAATAGAAGCCAACTGATTGGGAAATGACTAAACAAGTGGTGGTATATGAATGTAATGAATTATTGCTGCTCTGTAAGAAATAATTAATATAAAGAATGTAGAAGCATGGGAAGACTCACACAAACTGATTCAAAATAAAGTAAGCAGAACCAGGAAAACAAAACTATGTAAATGGAAAATATAAACAACAGAAACTTGAAACAACAATGACCAAACTTTTGGCCCCCAAAAGGGAGAGGAAAGTGTACTTTCCCCCTCGTTTGCAGAGGCAGGGCATCGTACAGAATGTGGGACTTAGTTGACATGTCAGTTTAGTTTCACTGAACTTTTTCTCTTTATATTCCTTGTTATAAAAAGTTGCTTGGATGGGGAAGAGGGATATGTTGGGAAGTGAAAGGGATGTGAAACAAATGCTAGCAATAAAACTTTAAATTTTAAAAGAAAAGACCTCAGGGGTCACATACAAAATACACCTAAACATAAGCACCACGTCTACTATCCCTGGTTGAATGAATGACCCTCAGCAATTGTCATGCCAATGCATAAAGATCTCCTGCAACCAGGAGGTGACAGGCTCTTCCACTTCTATACAGCTCTAGTAGTCACAAACGTTTTGCTTATTCTAGACAGAAATATGCTCATCTGAAACTTTGCTATCCATGGCTTTTAGGTGTTTTCTGGGACCAAGCAAACAATAGATCTGTTCAAATCCTATCTCTGTCACTTCCTCTGTGACCTTAGCAAGACACTTTCACCTCTCTGGGGCTCAAGTCTTTCCTCTATAAAATACAGCACGGGGATTAGATGACCTTTTTTGCTATAAATCTATGATCCTAAATCGAATCCCTCTTCCATATAACAACCCTGGGCCTTGGTTACTCTAGCTGTAAGAGGAAGAGGATTGGACTACATGACTTCTAAGGTTCACTCGCTCTAAATTTAAGATGCCAGGATCCTGGCTCAGTCTTCTCCAGGTTTAACAGCCTTTAACAAGTTTCCTATGGCATAGTACTTGCTCCCAACTAGAAACAGGGAGGCAGGAAAGAAGGTTTTTGTTTGTTTGTAAATCTCTAATTTATAGACGAGGAAACCAGGACCTAGAGAGATGATCGTACTTGCCCGATACACACAACTGAGTCAGTGTCAAAGCCAAAGGCTGGAATTCTGGTCTCCAAATGCTCTTGCTGCGGCAGTGGGGTACTGTCTTTCCTCTCAAATTAAGTAACAGCTCTGAAAGCATTTCCGCTTTTTATTGGGGAGGCCCGGGCTCCAGCTCTGGCAGTCAGCACAGGTGTGCCCTTTGGCCAGTCACTTCTCCAGGTCCTGTCCCATGGGGGTGAGTAAGGAGCTGAGGATCTCGAAGGTCCCTCTTGTCCCCAGGACGGCGGTGAAAGCCAGCCCCCCCCCCCCAGGGCCCTACCTGCCAATGACATCCTTGGGGTCGTACTTCTGGTAGAACTCCTTGGCTGCAGCCCAGTCGGGGAGCTCATCCTCCGGCCCCACGTCCAGAGTCATCTTGAAAGACTGCGGAGCCTGCGAGGACACGGAGGGGAGGGCGGCAAGGGAGGGGAAGGAGGGCAGTGAGGCCCACCAGCCCGAGCTCCGGGGCTGAGACTAGGGGGACACACATCGGGAGTTCCTGAGGCGCCAAGCGAGCGGCTGAGGAGCCAGGGTCCTAAGGGAAGGGCAGGGGGCGGGGGAGGGGGGGAGGGCACCGGGGAAGACGCTGAGAGCCTGAGCTTGGGGGAGGTGCTCTAAGAGAAGCCTGGGGTTCAGGGAAGGGTTGGGGGGAGGGAAGAGGGAGAGGGGGGATGGGGGGGACGGGTGCGGAGGGAAGGGGAAAAGGGGGGACCGCGATGGCGGGGAGGAAGAATGGGACCGTTGGCACGCAGGCGCACTGGGAAGGCGGGGGGGGGGGGGGGGGGGGGGGGGGGGGGTGTCTTCGGTGCTTCGGGGTCTCCAAGAGGCGGCTCACTGCAGGATTCCGGGCGCGCTGCTCCAAGTCAATCTCCACCGGACGCCTGGGCCTCAGACTCCACCCCTACCCTTCTCAGGCCGAGCCCCTCAGCCTATCAGACGCCGCTTCCTCTCTTCCACTCCTCCCCCCCCGCCCCAGTTCGTCCATCTCCCGGTGGAGGGCCCGCGAGCACTAGCCAGTAGGAAGCCGATCCTGGACCCAGAGGGAGGGGGCGGATCTTGCCCTTCCCCGGACGGGAAAAGTGAATGTTTTGCCCAATCGGCGCGCAGCAAAAGCAGGCAAGTGGGCGGGACACGTTCGACTTGGGAACCCTGGTTAAGGGACCCCGGAAGTGAACAAGTTCATCAGTAGATACTGACGTTTTTCCCAAGTTGGGTATCCACCGGCGGGGTTACGGAGAGTGGCACTTGGTACCTGCACCGGGCCCATCCTAGGTTACACTCGCCCCCGGATGATTCATGCCCCGAGGCATGGTTTAACCTGGCCCAGGGACCTCAAGCCAATCCTATCATTGACAAAACAGAGAGCCAGCCAAGAGGAATCCAGACCCACGTTCACTTTTGTTCTCCAGGCCAGGCGCCCTTCGAGAAGCCTATGTGCTGTCTCCATCCGCTAGCAACGGGGAAAAGAGCTAAGTCTTATCCCACACCCTCTATTTTGCTGCAGGTTTCCTCCCTAATCTGCTGCAGCAAGGTCGTCTCGAGTTTGGGGGAATGGTGAAATGTCTGATCCCAGAAAAGCTTTCACTTCCAACTAACCGTTTCCCACTCCCTCGCCTCCAACAACCTTTTCCTTGCTTTAGCCCACTAAATACAATGCTAGTTATATAGCATCTTGCAAGTGTCTGGGAGACAGATGAGTTCTAGTTCTGACTTATTAACTGTGTGACCTTGGACATGTCACTTAATCTTGCGGAGGCTCTGTTTGCTTATCTGTAAAGTCAAGGGGGAGAGTGTCAGGTGAAAATAAGGGTTTGTAAAGTCAAGAGGTGCATGTGTCAAGTGAGAAAGAATCTGTAAATAGTCACTTCATATTTGTTGAACTGAAAAAGGTTCAGTACCAAGGTTGTCTTTCCCACCCTCTGAAATTGAACAGCTATCACCAGAATCAGGGGACAGAAAAAGACGGTGTACACCAGCCATACAGAGGCATTTCCTTCCACCTAAAAAAAATTTTTTTTAATTACGAAATTAATTGTAATGAAATCAGGGCTGCCTGTTCTCCAACCCCATGTCTGTGCTTAGGTCCCATGGGCAGGAGCGAGTCCATTCAAGTCCAAACCTTTTTTTTATCATATTGATCGACTCTCTGTTGTCTGCATGCTGGGAAGACAGCCTCTGGAAACCACTTTTTGAAAGGTGTTTAAATACCCTCCAGGACCTGGAGGACCTTGTTCTTCTGGTCAGGATGAAGGACCTTGCTGTAGGTGAGGATCACCTATGATGCCACAGGGCAACTTCATGTTGTCCAAGTTTGTCACAGTAGGGTCACTCTGCTTGGGCAATGGCGTATGATAGAAGCCAGAGGAGCAGGGGTCCCAGTACAAGTACTCCAAGCCACACTGCAATGCTAGCCAGGGCAAGACGCCTGGCTCGATTCCCCAAGAACAGTGCTTCCTCTGGTTTCCCAGCCTTATGTCGTTCCTCAGCCTGTGAAGTCAGGACCCCAGATCAGTCAGCGCTTTCCTCTCATCCTTTATTTAACTGGCTCAAAACACAAATTCTAAGTTTCTAATTTATTAGTTTCTGAGAGGTGCCTCAGCTCTGGTTCTTCTCAGTTAATTATAAAATGGACATAATTTATATTTAACTCAATCCCTAGAGTTACTGTAAATAGTAAATGAGGTAATGGTATGAAAACACTTTAGCTTTATCTAAGTGTGGGATGGTACCATTAGGTGCTCCTCCATTTTTTATCCTTTTCTACCAAATCCACAGTATTTGAAGGGTTTTTTATATAGCAAAGATGGATGAATAAAACATTTATTAAGTGCTTATTAATGTGCAAAGCACTCAGAGTGCTGTGCATAGAGATAGTCCCTGCTCTCAAGGAGCTTAAAAATACCTGTTTTGCTGCCCAGGTTGTAGGTTGTCTTACTTTTGCTCAACTGCATCCTGCCATCCTCCATTTCACCCTTTTATCCCACTTCTTTTTATCCCAACCACCTAGCCCATCCCTGCCCTTTCCCCACAAGTCCCACATCCCTCACCTGGACAGCAAACACAAGAGCCACGACTCCAAGACAGGAGCAGCCGAAGATGACGCTAGTGGCTGCAAGACATCGGAGCGAGTGCCAATTGCAGCCAACAGGAGGTGAGGCTGGAGAAGGGTCAGTCTCTATGCTCACCAAGGTCTCCAATGCCTTTTGTTCTTCTCCCATCACCTGTAGAGGACAGTCTGTCAGGGTATTTGGGATCCCAAGCACTAGCTCTCCTTTCTAGATCTCAAATCCTCTTTAAGAACATCAAGTAGCATAGCCCATTTCTCAGGAATGTTGTCTGACCAGGAATTTTCTTAACAAGTTTTTGCAATGATTCATGCATGAGGTGGTTCACTGGCTAAATTCTTTCCCTAGGACTTCCTTTTTCTTACCTTTTCTCCATCACAGGAAACAAACTGGTATGCAAATAGTATTGTCCAAATTAATCACTGTTTGGGGAGACACTTGGTAGATAAATGGGGAGGAAGACTCCAGGAGAAACTGAGGAAAAAAATAGGTGAGGAAGTGGGAGGAAGGAAAAAAGCAAAGGAGGGTAATAAATGTGTGGGAGAATTGAGCTTAAGTCAGTCTAGGGTTAAAGTGATATAGTTCTGGTTAATGGGGAAATGAACAACGATACAAGAGGTTTGTGATAAAGCCAGGGGAAGCCAAAGAGGAAGAGGGATTCTTACCTGGCAGTAGGTCCCTGAATTTCAGCTCCCAGCCTCTTGGTTTTGGTTTGGCTTGGGTGGAGATATCTCCTTCTGACTCAGGGATCTGAGCCTAGGGGTGGGGCATGGCTCCTTATCTACCCACCCTAAGAGCTAAAGCTACAGAGTGGGGTGGGGCCACCTCAAACCTGTTTGAGCAGCAGGGCGAGTCTGGAAAATGGAAAGCTGACGCTAGAGGGAGGGAGATGCAAGATGTTGAAGCTAGGCTATGCCAGACTTCAGGGAAGAGAAGGCAAGAATGACTCATTGGCAAAGTATACTATTCCTAGGTATACAAATCTGAGCTTGGGGTGGGGTGGGAGGTGGGGCTGGAATCAAGAACTACTGGGAGATGGAGGGGGATGAGACAATTCGATTGGACGGCATAATGTTCTCAGAAGCTTGAGTTAAAGATTTCATTCAAAAGTGTTCTAACCACCTTAGGTCACAGAAGGGTAATAGATGGTTGGGGCAAGACTGAAGAAATGGATGAAGCCCAAGTCCCATCCCACCCTCCAGCATCCCAGGAAATCAGAAGCCTCCTTACGCTGATGCTCATACGGAAACTAAGTTTATTATTTTTCTTTTTTTTCTTCTTTAAAAAAAAAAAAAAACTCATCGCGGAAAGGAGTCCCTCCCCCTCCCCCTGGGGGTGGGGACCTGTGAAAGACAGTCAGGATGGGGAATCAAGTATAGGAGAGTGGGGACAGTGGCCATCTTGCCACCCTTAACACTGCCCAGCCAAGGGATGGGGGTGGGGAGGGTAAAGAGAGCCCTGTTTCCATGACAACCAGTTCCCCCACACACACTTTGGTAGGGGGAGGGGGTGAAGGCCCCCCCCCCCGTAGGCCTCCCCCAGACTTCAAGTAGTGGTTTAACAGTCAGGACTGGCTGTGGGGATGGAGGGGCAGAGCTGGCCAGCCAGAGTGGATGGAGGGCCTGGTCACGTCTTAGCCTTCCGACCTCTGTGGCTGAGGGAAGGGCCAACTGTATTCATAGGGGCACTGCTTCGCAGGACACGTTGGTCCCCAGGGGTGGCCACAACTGGGCGTCGGGGCAGAGGCCGGCGGTGTGGGACACCATCACCCTCGGCTTCCTCCTCGCCTGAGGCCTCAGCCTCCGATTCCTCTGTTGACATCTCAGCCCCCAAAGGGCTTCGAGGTCGTGGGTACCTCCTCTTGGCTGGGACAGGGCCACCAATGGCTGGTGTCACTGCCCGTTTTCGGGGCACCTTCTCACTCTCCAGTGGGGGGACTAGGGAGCCCGGGCGCAGCCGGGTTGAACGGGGAACTGGGAGCAGTGGTACAGGGGGTGTTGTTGAATCAGTGCCACCAGTGCCACTTTCTGTTGACTCTGTCTCATCCCTATTAGGGATGGCTGCCACAGATCCCTCTGCCTTCCGGACCCGGGGACCCTCTGCTTCTAAGCGGAGGCGGGCTAGGCGAGTAAGAGGGCGACCCCCATCCTCATCAGAGGAGCTACTCTCACTCTCAACAGAAGGCTTCTGTTGTTGTTTCCCCCCTCCACCAGCTTCAAGACCCAAAGAACTGTCATGCTCAAAAGCTGGTGGCTGACTAGGCCTGGGTGATGGTGGGTTTTTGGGGGGTCGGCCCCGCTTCCGTTTGGGTGGCGAAGGTGAGACAGCTGTAGGGCAGGCAGCAACAGGAGAAGGGACAAGAGGAAGGGGAGGGGGAGGTGGCAAGGGGGGTGGCGGTGTCCGGCTCTCAGTGCCACCACCTCCCTGAATGGGCAGGGTTCCTGGGGTAGGTGGTTCTCGTGCCTTAGGGGGCCGCCCCCGCTTTCGTTTTTCCACAGGTGATGCCACTAACTCAGCCCCATTGGCCTTGTCCTTAGGTACAGGTTGGAGCAACTCATGTAGTTCACGCCCTGCATCCCCAGGGGACCTGTTCTTGGGTGGTCGGCCACGTTTGCGCTTCATAACAGGTAAACCTAGCTGTCCCTGTTCTCCATTCTCTGGGCTGTCCCCACCAGAACTGCCTAGGTCAATGCGGCGGCGAGCAGGCAAAGGCCGCCGGGCTTGGGGAGGCAGAGTGGTAAGGGGCACAGAATCACAGGAGCCTCCCAGAGGAGGAGAGGACTCAGGCTCAGAGTTGCTCTGGGTTGAAGAGCTTCCAGGGCTGACCCCAATCTCTGAGGCCCCTGTTGCCGGCGGCGTCGAAGCTGGGCGCTGCTGTCGTCGCCTTCGCACAAGCTCCTTCTCTTCTACCACAGTGACCAGCCTGCCCGGCAGCTTTCGCAGTACCTTGGGACCTGGGGGCTGTCCAGTCCGTCCCGTCCCTTGTCCCCGGATTTCCACATCAGCACTGGTGCGACGCCTGGGAGGACGAGCCGGCGAAGGACTCTCAGGTGAAGAGGCAGCTGAAGAAGAAGCTGATGGACCTGTAACCTCTGACGAAGCAGGGACTTCGAACTTATCAGGGCTGGGTAATGGGACTCCAACTTCCACTGGTGGTTGACTTTCTGGTGGCTCCTGAGAAAGCTCTGCAGGGGCTCCAGAAAATGGGGACCCAAGGTCATTGTCCTCACTTAGGGCTGGAGTTAACTCTTCATCACTAGGTGGTATCGGCGTGGTCTCCTCAACATGCTCCGGAGGATCCATCTCATGGCCATTGGAAACAGCCTCTGTCTTAGGGGTTGGGCTTGGGGCAAGTATACTAGGGAAGAGAGTCTCCTCTGGTACAGGGAGCTCAGTGGTACTGGATGGCAGGTCTTTTGTGGAGGGAGGGGTTAGTGGAGGGGTCTTGGGGCCAGCCACTACTACCTCCTCATTCTTAGGCTCCAATGACTGAGGGAGTGGCTCCAACTGAGTTGATGGTTCTACCTCAGGTATCAAGGTTGGTGGCAGGCTGGAGACTGGTGGAGAGGTGGAAACTGGTAGGGTACTAAGTACTGGTGGGGTGGCAGGAGCAGGAACTGAAACAAGGCGGGGCCGTGATGTAGCCCGTGGGGTTCTCTCATTGGCAGGGCTTCGGCTATGACGAGGGGCAGTAGAGTTACTACGTGTATGATGAGCAGGGGGGGTACCGCTAGTATTTGCCACTGGTGTCTCAGGCCGGGCTCCACGAAGCCTTTCACTGACTCGAGTTCCTGGACGCTCAGGGGCCTTGGCTTTCTTACTACGGCGGTGGCTGCCCCCACTGGTCCCACAGGCCGTTTCATCCCCAGCTCCGGCCCCTAGCTCCTCCTCACGGGGTAGACGAAATACTTCCTCCTTAGCCTGGTCGAGGTCTTTCCGTGCAGCCTCTACTTGTTCCTGCCAGAAACAGAGAAGAAGTGGGGAGAGAGTTCAGAAATGGGGTTCAGTGACATGGGAAAGGCCAAGGGAGCAACAACTCCAAGGCCTAGATATCTAGCCCAGGCCCAGGGAGATACTCACTTCTGCTTGCTTTAACTCCTCACGGCTCACATCCTCCAGTGATGCCTCCAAAAAGTTCATGGCATAGCGCTCAATAGGGGTCAGCTTGAAGGGAGAGATAGACATGAGCACAGGGAACGTGGTACCCTGCCATTATCCTTATTTCTTGCAAAGGAAGGCAGAAGGAACAGAAAGAAAGGAAAAAAGAACGAGGAACAATAAAAGGAAATGAGATGGACTGAGATGAAGTAGACTCCAGTAACTGAAACTAGCAAGTCTGGATGGGGAGAAACCAAGGAAAGAAAGAGATTGAAAAGCAAATTAGAAGGGAGTTGGGGAGAGCAAGGGTGGAGATAGGGAAAAAGAAGAGGCTAGGGGAGGGTGGTAAGGACTAGAAGATGAAGCAAGCGGAAGAAAAAAGGTGAGACGCAGAGACTAACCTGCTCCACGAGGGCAGCAATCTCTTGTTCAGCCCGGGATACCTCTTCATCTTCGGCCCCTGGCCGACCGCTCTCCTCTCCCTCCCCAGTGGGGAAACCTTCATTCTCATTGAACTCTGCAAGCTCCGCCACCTGCTCTGCCTTGGCTTGGGTGGCCGCACGGATATCCTCTTCATCCTCTGCCCGGCATAGTGCCTAGGAAGCGGAAAGGGGGAAGGGGTGTAGTTGTTAGAACTGTCCTTAAAGAACCCTATGCTTTTTTTTTTTTTTTAAAAAGCCCTCACCAACCACCACTATCCCACCCTTCAAATCCATATTCAGAAGTAACTGTTCAGGTTGGTGTACGTTCACAATCCATAACTTGCTGAAACAAAACAAATTCTAAGCCAAATCAATCCTAAAGCTCCCCAGTACCTTCTGGGTTCCCAAAATTACTAATATAGTCTTATTCTTTATATAGGAGACAGAAGTTTGGCCCACAGGAACCCACCAAAATAAAACAAGCTAATTCAGACTGTTTTGTAGGACTCTTAACTCATTTCTTTCTGGGCCAGGCATAAAGTCCCCCTCAACATGCTAACAGGTAAGAAGTAACACAAACAATTACAAATACTACCCAACCAATTTTTCTTTGGATTTGGAAGGCATTATGGGTCTAAAATTGTGTTTCTTAATTGTATGATGACAAAATGACAGGGCATGGTAGCTTAGAGTAATTCACAAAATGAATGATGGATAATCTACATATGACTATTAAAAGCAAGAGTTGACTAGTATCTGGGAAGCACGAAGAGTATTAATCACTCTTCTTTCGACGCGTCCAAAAGTTTGATGGGGATGCAGCCCCAGCTCTATGTGCTCTCTTTCACCTGTTCCAAAATGTGGGTCTGCTTGTTGGCCACAGCTTCTTCCTCTTCCTCAGGGGCAGAAGGCACAGGTGGGACAGGGACAGCTGGCTCTTCCAAGGGCATGTCAAACAGTTCGCGAATTGTCTGCTGTTGATGAGAAAGAGGGAGAAAGGCCAGGATCAATAAATAAGTCTACAAAGGTGAAGGGTCTAAGAGTAAGGAATATGTTTAGGATTCCATCAGCCAGTGCATTCTGGTTGGAAAAAAGAGTTTGGAGACTTAAAAGATTAATCTCTGATGCCTCTAAGGTATAAAAAGTCTGTTAAGGTATTTAGGAGGCTTATAGCAGGGCTGATCTAGATGGATACCTGTTTAAAATAGGCTGTGGTGAAGTTGCCGCCCTCTATGGCCATATCCCCCAGCATTCGCTTCTGATTGGCCTTCTTCAGGATGTTCTCCTCCACGGTCCGTTCGCTAATAAGCCTGAGGATTGGGGGAGAACTGTTTCCGTAACAAAGTCAAGGAGGGTGAGAAGCCTGTCTAGCCAGGGATGGGGCAGCTCACAAAGTGGACTGTGGGTGTGCAGGAGACGGTACCTGTAGATGTGCACATCTCGGGTCTGCCCAATGCGGTGGCAGCGGTCTTGTGCTTGTGCATCCATGGTGGGGTTCCAATCGCTGTCATAGAAGATGACCGTGTCTGCTCCAGTTAGGTTCACACCCACACCCCCACTTCGTGTTGACAGTATGAAGCAGAAGATTCGTTTGTCTGCA